GACAGGAGGCAGAAAGAGAAAGAAACCTTTTGGTCTACCACCCTTGTCTATTACATAAACACATCCCAATACCCTGTCACTATTTAGAAATGAGGGCACACATAATCTAATAAAAGCCACAGAGAACACTGATGTGAAGATTTCTTAGCACTTTTACATTCTGCTAGGTAAATATTATCATATATATGCATATACATATACGTGTGTGTTATCTAAACCATTTTCAGAACAATAAACATTTCCGTACTAGCTCTAGACTCTAATATGTTTGTTTGTTTGTTAGTTATCCATTTGCACAGAGATCTCAGTGGTTATACTGGGATTATTTAATAAAGATGTGTCTCCTCATCTTTTCAGCCCCAGCATCTGGTACCATGTTTGGCTCATAAAGAACTGATTCCTCAAGTCTTGAAAGGTCCTGCTTTCCACATCTCCAGCCATGTTCCCAGTCCATCAATACCAGCTCTCCTTGCATCGCAGTGTTTCAGGATAAGAATGTTCCTAAAGACAAAACTAATTTTGGATCTTTTCAGCAACAGACAACTTTCTGCTGTGCCAAACTCACTTATACACACAAGACGTTCCCCAACTCAGACCTCCTTTTTAAGCCAGCCCTGCACAATGAATAAATCGGGACTGCTGAGACCTCCCAGGGCCCTCTCCTTGCTAGGCGCCAGCTAGGGTACAGTGAAGTAGACTTTCCCAATTTCTTTGCTTCCAAGAAGGAAATCAGATACTGAGGGTGGATGACCAACTTTCTGTACCTAAGGTGCAAACAGCTCTTTTCCTGAACTGCAAAAGCATGAGTAAGCAGGCCACTACTTCAGACGTAGTGCAAGGCAGAACTACAATTTTATACATTATTTGCCCCTCTTTGCACCCTGTTCCTCATATGCAAGTCATTGATGCAGCTAAAGTTTGAAACTAATCACAGCATTTGAAGACCCAAAAGACTTGAAGACCCACAACATTGTTGATAACGGTGTTTGGATGAGTTAGGATTTTTGTAAATTGCACTGTCTTCCATGTTCACACTTAGCTCCTCCGAGGACACAGGTTCCCCCCTTCTATGCCTGGTTACAAACTGAGAAAAATTCTAGAGATAAAAGGAGTTCATTCAGCCCTTAGGTCACAGTCTAAACCCTGGGAAAGAATTATTTGCTCAGACCCAATCAAGCCCTTTTAGGACATATGGAAGAACAAAATGCTTTTTCCAGAGACTAGCTTTCATTAACTATGTTTCTAACACTGTACTAGAAAGGCTGACACATAACTTTAAAAAGTGGTTGAAACAAAAATACTGTATAGCTTTTACTTGGTTATGCAAGCACTCAATAGATTAAGCTAGGTTTTTTAGGACTACATTTCCTTTCAACCTCTTATCAATAGAATTTCATGTATTATTTGGCCAAACTTACTAAATTATTTGTCACAGACCCCCAGCACTACATAAACTTGGCATGGTGGCACACACCTGTAATCCCAGCACTTGAGAGGTAGAGGCAGGAGGACCAGAACTTCAAAATCATCCTTAGCTACACAGTGAGTTCAACACCAGTTTGGGATACCTAAGACCCTTTCCTAGAGAAGGGGAGTCAGAAGAATAATGCAAACCAAGCAAGGAATTTGAAGAGAGAGCAGTGTAAATGCCAGAGTCGAGACAGAGCCTTCCGTGTTTGAAAGCTTTAGAATAGAGAGATCTTTTTCCAAAAGTTTCCTTTTAAAATAACATTTGAGGGCTGGGGAAGGGGCTTTGCTCAGTGGCTTCAGTGCTGGCTGTAAAAGCATAAGGACCTGCATTTGATTTCTGTGCCCCCAAGTAAAGAGCTGGCCATAAAAAAACATGTATCTTTAATCCCAATGAGAGGATGGAGTTAAAGAAAAGACAATCCTGAGGACTTGCTGGGCAGGTGCAAATAAGAGTGATTCTGGGTTCCTAGAGGGGTTCTGTCTCAAAAAATAAAATGAAGACATGATTAAAGACATTCCAGTGTCTACCACTGACCTTCCAAATTGTCCACACTGGCAAATGTGGTTTTGCCTGCTTACATACATGCACACACTCTTATGTACGTGTACACACAGATAGAAAAAAAAAAAAGAAAAAAATATTGCCTTACGGGGGAAACCTCACAAACCTAACTCTGAGCACATGTGAAGGTGGGGACTGGTTGACTTTCCAAAGTCTTTGTTGATTTCTGCGCAGGGAGCATCCACCAGCCCCTAGTGAAAGTTGCCTGTTTCTCCCCTGACCAGACTTTTAAATGGTTGATGAAAACTGAGTGATTGCAAAGTTCCATTCTTGGGCTGGTTTAAAACCCTGTTTTAAACAAAGCGAGTGTATTTTCTCTAGGTCTATCTTGTGTTGCCTGTTTTATTTATATTTAATATTCTTCCCTTGGTCTGCTAATGTGGCTCATCTCTAAAGCTCATAAGTAATATAAGAAACCATATTACAGTGTCTACAGAGACCAGGACAATGCTTCCTCGGCCTAGCTTTGTTCTCTTTGCTCTTCCTAGTTTATGACAATGGTCCTTACCCTTTCATGTTTAGAGTTTGATGTAAAAAAAAAAAAAAAAAAAAAAAAAAAAAAAAAAAAAACGTAAAATATAAAAAAAAAAAAAAAAAAAAAAAAAAAAGTGAAAAAAAAATAATGGTAGAACTAAAGCCAAAGATTTAGAATGGGGAAAAAGACAGAAATCTTGGTAAAAGGTGTGCAGGTCAAGTGTTTTTATTAAGCCTATATCTAGTATACCATGCATAGTCAATTTAGGGTGCCATTTTTTTTTTATCAAAGAAGACAGTCTGTCTGCAGAGTTTGGACACAGGGCAGCTGGTCACACCACACTGCTGAAGGAAAGTAAGCATAAAATGACTTTAATTCCACTTTGTCTATTTAATATCTAAATTGACATCCTTGAGGCTCTGGCTGTATTCAGTACAGAGCATAATGGAAGCTGAATGCCTGGTGGAAAGGGCCTTGACACAGGAGTGGCACTTTGGAGCATTAAGCAATTGTGAACAGCAGATAAGCATTCAGATTTTCTCGAGTCCATTTTCCTTTTAAACAGCATAGATGCCAAGAGTGTTGGGTCAAGGTTACACTCCTACACATTTGGCATCCATCTTCAACTACAGGCATAAATTCCTCAGACAATGAATGCCTAAAACTGACAGCTATGTGGAATTTGTAGAGGGAGAGTGGTGATTCTGTAACTAGATTACAGAGGCCAGCTGCATTCCAAAGGCTTTACATTTACACGGCATCTGGAACAGTTTTAAGGCTTATAGGAAATAGGAATGGATGTTGACAAAGACAAAATAATGTACATTAAGTTCAAAGATAATACAAACAAACTCTTGTAACCAGTGACATCGCACATGAAGAGATGCCTTTTAATAAGCATGGTCATGGACGTGTCTGCAGCCACCCCCCACCATTTGAATGTCTAGACATTGGGGTCGATGGAAACTAAACTAACCAAGTATTCCAAACCTTTTCCTCTTGCACTGTTGAATCTAGCAGAGATGACTCAGTTCTGTCTTAAACCAAAAAATATTTCTCTTCCTCCTCTTGCTTTAGTGGATTATAAATTTCAGAGTTACTAGTTTGGGTAAAGGAAATAAACACATAGATGGAAACCAAAAGCCTGGTGGTCATGTCATATGCTTTACCTAAATATTTTATATATACCTTTGCTTATAGAGGCTCTGTTTTTCTGGGGGCTGTCTACTTTCTGGTGCTCCAGCCAGCCCACCTATGATAAGAAGTTGATCTCCACCAGCAAACCTCATAGCCCTTACTCTGAGCCTGTGTGAATGTGGGGACTTAGCTTGACTTTCTAAAGTCTTTGTTGGTTTTTCCATAGGGAGCTTCCACCAGGCCTTAACAAATGTTTCCTCTCCTGACTGGACTTCTAATGGTTGATGAGGGCTGACTCTTGCAAAGTTCCATGCTTGGGCTTGCTTAAAGCTCTGTTCCCAAGGTTACCATTTCTAAAGTGCAAGCGTTTGAAAAGGAAATTGCCATATAGGACACACTCCAAAGGAAGCAAACAAAATGGTTATATAACTGAGTTGAAATAAGATGGAAATGTTGAAGCGTTGATTTTTTTAAAAGCTACTTATGGACAAAGGTTGTTATAGAACTATTCCAGTTAGTGTCCAAGAGTAAAGAGCAAGGTAAACATTAAAGAGAAAAACTACCCCTAGAGTAAGACTCGGGATTGATTTTGCACTCTCTGCCAATGTGCCGATTTTTAGGAATGTAATTACTCCTACAGTCAACACCGAAAAATTAGAGACACTCCAAATAGATACTTTCTATAGTAATCACGATTGATGTTAAATTCTTCAGTATCATTGCTTGGAATTTCATGCACTTATCAGGCCCATTTGAATCATGTGAGTAGTTTAAATGGTCAGAGAAAACCCATTTTGAACCAATTGTATCTAGGCACCATCCATGATTCTGACATCCTAAAGGAGATGGATGAACGATCTGCACAGGATACTTTTACTCTCTATCTGTGGGTTGGGGCTCCCTGGGACCCAATCCTGGCCCTGTTGTTATGTTAGCACATGCTTGTTTTGGTCTGTATTTGCTAGAGAAATAGAACCAATGGGGATATTCATCTACATATGTGGAGAAAAAGAGCTCTGTTATGGGTTCGGCTCAGATGGCTGTGAAGGGTTGATAAGTTGGAGGCTGATGGAGGAGGCCTTGGAGACTAAAGGAAAGTTACAGTTTGGGTTCAAAGATAGTTTGCTTGCAAGCCCAAAGGCCTTCTACAGTTAGAATTTCCTCTAATTCCTAGAGGTCAGGAATTTCTGTTCTCCAGGCTGACAGCAGATTTGGGGAGGCTCATCCACCTCGATAAGGGCAATTTGTTCTACTCAGAGTTCATCCATTTAAATGCTAATCTCATACAAAAGATAAAATAAAATAAAAATAAAAAAACACAAAAATATAGGATGGTTGACTATTTTTTTTTGGGGGGGGTTTAAAAACACTTCACAGTGTGTTGTGTTTATTAAGTAGCTCCACTGAGGTGTGATGGCAGGTACAGTGGGTGAATAAAGCTGCCTGAGCCTGCTCGGGTGGATCCCCGCACCAGTGGTGATGCAGTCCACTGGGGCTCCAGGGCCAGAGAGGAACGTGGGCGGTGGCTACACCATGTCCAGGTTAAGGCCCAGGGATGGATGGCAGAGATAGAGGGAAGAGCTGGAGAGAGATGTGATGAGATTTTTTTCCTCTCAGATGTTAGTTTTTTGGTCTATCAATTGGAAAGGAAGGCTCAGACTTAAATAAATACATTTGAGTAACAGCCTTTATTGAACAAAGTCCACCAATTCAGCTTCGAGTAGGTTTTCCCTTCAGCAGCAGCACTCATCTGTCCCAAGACTCCAACTGAGACCCTTCTCCTGTGTATATGAGGGAAGTGGAGATGCGTCACTATTCTATCCAACATGGCTCATCAAAGATACTATTTTTAATAGTCTGGGGCAAGTTATTTAACCTCTTTGTGTCTTAGTATGCTTGTCTATAAAATGGGATTAATTCAAGGGTCATTACAACTCTGTGGGTTGAAAGTGCAGGTGAAATGGGTCCATTTATGAATGATGTGCTGAGAACAGTATCTGACATAGTAAGCAGTTTATTACAAGACAGGAAAACAGAGAGGAAACTTGAGATATTAAACCCGTTCGGCAGTCCAGAGATATGAACCCACTTGCCCCAGTGGCAGAGTCCATCTGGGGTGAGACTCAAATTCTAACTCTTGATCTTAGAGAAGACATCATTGCTCTTGCCCTTAACCAGGGAGACTCAGTCAATCTCATGAATCTATCAGGAGAAATGTATTAGTACTGAAATTTAGAATTCATTGGATTTTGGAGATGTTCTTCAAATAAGAACTTAGTAATTAATATTATAGAAATCCATCTGAGGCTATTTCTATCAATGGATGACTGGGAAAATGACCTTGGGACAGAATGAGCTCACACTGGCACCTGGGATGTCCACAGAACTCTTTGCTCAGGTTCAGTGTGAGTTCAGTGTGATAACTGAAGACTCACTCCTGCTCTGTGCAGAAGGTGTCTGCTTCCCATTCCACACTCGTTGAGGGCTTCTTCTCTCCATGCTCTTCCCTTCTGTGAGAAGACTCACGATCCAGCTCAGTGCCTTTCAGGGTGGACTCTGGCTAGATCACCTGAATCACAATGACCTGCAGGGCTGGAAAAAGAGACAGGTAGGTGAGTGAGTGCTCAGCACTGTAATCACTGAGTTTGAATTTCTAAAGTTCAGGAAGTAATTTTTTTTTTTTTGTAAATTTCATGGATTTTATGATATAGAGGTTTGAAGGGTCTCTGCAGTATGTTATCTTGATCTTGCTAATAAACACGGAGTGACAGAGTTGTAAAGCTGCTATGCGTCCATTAGAATTTCTAGATAGTGCCATCTCCACTTGTTTAATTAGGTTGCTTCTCTGCTCATGGTAGCTGGGAACAGTTTGCCGCTTCTGCATTAATGAAGTGGAGCTGTGCTTACAGAGTGTTTCCTGATTGGAGTTTCCGAGCTGCAGACTATCATTAGCTCTGCCTTCTACAAGCTCTAGGAAAGGCGCTGTTTGCTCTCAATGCTGCTGGCTCACACCCGCAGTTGCTTACATTTAGTGCCACATTTTAATCACCCAGTATAAAAGTTTCCGCTTTCAAAGCCCATTAAATCCCAACAGCTTTCATCTTTAAGTCATTCTCCTTTTTAAGAAGTGGTTTAGGGAGTGGGAGCGGGAGAGGGGAGAGAGAGCTCAGTTGTTACGAGCCTTCGTTGTTCTTAGAGAGGACCTGGGTTTTATTCCCAGCACCCACGTGGCAGCTCACACCTGTCTCTAATTTCAGTTCCAGAAGATCTGACATCCTCGTCTGACTTCTGCAGGCACAAGACATGCATGTGGTGCACATACATACATACAGGCGAAACACTTGTAAAGGAAAATAAGAATGAATCTTTTGAAAGAAAGGGGATGGGGGGTAGGGGATTTGTAGACTGCTCAATGGTGAAGAGGACTTGTTTGGCTAACACAAGGGCCCACGTTCAGATGTCAGCACCCATGTACAAAGTCAAGCTACTTCTGTGACCCCAGCTGCTGGGGACTTCTCTCCTGTCCTTCCTACATGTGGCTGAGCGACCTGTTTCTGGGTTGTACTTCACCCCGCTTCATCTCTGAGCATCACTTCCTTCCATCTTTCACCTGTGGCCAGCCAGAATGGACCAGCACAGCACCACCCAGGACTCACTCCCCAGCCTCAGGAGATGAGTTCCACACTTGAAAGTGAGAAGTTCTGGATACCTGAATGTTGCTAAACAGTCATATTAACCCAATTACCTAGCAAAGAGATGGGGTGGAGTTGTTTGCTATTTCATGTTGTTCATTTAAAGAAATGATTTCAACCATTTGTGTGAAAATTATATCATCTTTTGAGAAATTGAGCCAGACTTTCAAATGGGTAGGATAGAACTGGTGTATCTTAGGAAAAGGAATGATTTCCTCAAGCTTCTCTCTCTTCTATGGTTGGATCCCTTCTTCAGTTCCTCCATCTTGCCTCCTACTGTGGTCTCCTCTGGTCTCTGTGGGGTCCTTTTTCCCGCTTTTCATGACATTTCTCACTTTCTAAGAAGTTTTAGATAAATTTCCAAGTAGCCGCAAAAGATCTCTAATGAAGTAGCTCCTGTCTGAAGAAGCTAAAATAAATCCATGCCATCGTTCAGTAATGACCAAGCCTTTCGAACATAATTGCTTAGTTATTTCTCACTGCAAACTCACAAAACAAACATTAACTTTTTTTTTTTTTTCAATCAGAGAAACTGGAAGTTCTATGTCGTTAAGCAGCCTGTATGAGCTCACACAGCTAATAAATTGGGCGGCTAGGATTTAACTCCAGCCTTTGGAGGCTCAGCCATCACAAGCTATTACTGCTGTTCTCCAGAGATGTTATCCAAGGACATAGAGTGAACTGAAGTCTCCCGGCTGGGAGTGCTTACCCTGAGGAGCCAGATCTTTGCATTGGGGATGTCGCCTCATCCCTATCTCTGTGAATAGCTGGTGTGGCTTCTTGGCTGAATCACAGAGAAGAGGCAGAGGAAATCCTGATTTTCATTCAATTTAGACTTTATTTATTCATTGGTGCTTTTCTAGGTCAGTAGGAAGGCGAAGGGAAGAGTATCCCCTCCCCTGCAGCTGGAGGAGGTAACTGTGTGATGGGCCTGTGGGTGGTCATTTCATGTTGCTTTCTGGGTTAAAATGATGTGGTTCCTTAGGTTGTCTGTGGAACTAGCAATTATCATTCCCTCTTTGACTGAAGTAGTTATTTTTGGTGAAAAGCTATTAAGTCTTTTGACTGAGAACATTTTGGGTACCCTGTGGTTGGCTAGCTATGTTTAGATCCCTTACTCACTGACCTTGAATTAATTCCCTGGCCTCTCTATTTCTCTCTTGATAAGCTAAGAATGGTGGGGTGATGTGTCAATACCTAGAAATTAGAATGAAATTCTAATTTGCACAGCACTTGAATATCTATAATATCATTTCAGTTCTTCAATTCACATTTTAGTCCAGAAAAAAAATCTTATTTATTTACAAGTAATTATTCCAATTATCAATAATTTATTTTGTGCTTTGGGCATTACATCATGGACATGATGCATCTTAAATTGAGTTTCCTGACTGTGTCTGTGTTCTAATTAACTGTCTCCATCCCAATTACGGTATCTTGTCTGAAGTGATCAGCCTTACAAGTTTCCCTCTCCTCTAGACTTGTATTGTCTTCGCCTTGACATACGAATTTTACCAGCAGATACAATTGGTTAATCATTTCCCGATTTTTGGTACAATTTGACTGTATTTGGCCATGAAGAAGACACTAAAGAAATCTTCAACAGTGCTGTTATCCTGAAGAGCCAGGGAAAGCAGTTTACATCCAAAGACAATTATCTTTCCCCAGTGTATAATCAGAGCCAAGGAAAGAGCTGGATGATAAATATAAGTGAGAAGTCTCTCTTTACCTTCCACGTAAGCGGTGCTCTGGGGTAATGTCGGCTTTCTAGTCACTCTTAAAATATACTGACTTCGATCATGGGATGAGTGCTCATGGCTAGCTAGTTACCCTCTATGGTGGTTTGAATAAAAATGTCCCCCATAGGAAGGAATACTTGGACCCAAGTTGATGATGCTGTTGGGGGATCTTAGGAGGTGTGGCCTTGAGGGGAGTTTATCACCCGGGGTAGAGGAGGGAGGCTTTGAGGTTTCAAAGCAGCTATTCCCAGTGCTTTTTCTCTGCTTCAGGTTTGCGAGTCAAGATGTAAATTCTTGGCTTCCACCTCCTGCTGTCTGTCACTATACTTACTGGCTCCTGCCATGGGGGATCTATCATTATGGATTCTAACTCTGGAACCTTAAGCTCTCCAAAAGTCCTTCTTTTATAAGTTGACTATGATGTTTTATCACAGCAATGGAAAACTAACTAAAACAGCCTCTTATTAACCTATACCTTAAACCTCAGGCATACTCATTAGTCTAAGGCATTACTCCAAAGAGTCAGTACAATTTGTTATTGAAATAGTATGATACATATTAATGAAATATGGGGGCCATATAGGGAAATACGCATGTTGTGTGGAAATTAAATTGATTTCTTTAAAAAAAAAACCCTATAAGCATGAATTATTAAAAAGTTACTAATGAATTAGTATTGTCTGAAAAAGACCAGTGTGGGAAATACAAGAAAAATGTAGGAACTTTACCCTCTCAATACTTGCAAGGTTCTTAACTCTACTTTAAATAACTCAGTAGTGAGAAACATGGAAGATGATGTACATACATTATACTTGAGAAAGAATCAGTAGACATCCTGTTGGTAGACTCAAAATCTTAGAAAAAATATCTACCAAAAGCTTGATGCTTTAGTGTGTAGCTTTTTAAGTTTTAAATCGAAATGCCGATGGAAATAGGAACCATTTTTTATGATTTCTTTTCTAACCATATATTTGTTTAATCGATTGATGACTAAACTACTGGTTTTTCTATCATTAGATTACAAAAAAAATTCTTCATTGACAATATGGAAAAAGAAGACATTAGAGGGTTGGCTTAAAATCATGAGTGTGGTTTCGTCACTGTACAGTAACAAGGCAACCTTCTTTCAGAGAAAGCAAAGACACAGATGGCAGGAGGATTCAACATTTAGGTTATAAGAGGCAAAATTCCTCGCAGAAGGCTGAAGAGGGGATCAAAAGGATGGGACAGACCTTGGAGGAGATAAGGGATGTGATGACAGGTCCGAGGAGATCTTAAGCCACTGACCACTTTTTCAATCCCAATTATGAAATTAAGAAAGCAACAGTTTAGAGTAGTTTCCTTACAGTGCACAGTGTGTAGTAGCTCACTGAGGCATATAAAACTTCTCTTGGGTACATATTCAGGTAATGGGACATTTTCACCCAGAACACTCTGATGGGAAAACTGAGGCCAAGCGTGACTTCCAGCAGGAGAGATGCCATAGGCAACGGAAAGGCTGGCACACTGTTTGGCCCTGGCTCAGATCAAAGGTAAAGATGGTGTATCATCTGTATCACTGCCGTAGAGGGGATGATAGACATTTTTGCAAATAAATGCTAATTCTCTTCCATAGATAGTAAATTAGTAATTTGGCTAAAATCATCTTCCATGTGGAATTTTCACTTCTTTTGGGAGAATCCAGCAAGATGCCTTTATCAACATATGGATATCATTAGAAAACAGTCATAAAGAACACAATATTTAGAGTGAAACAGAATTCTGTTCAAAGTCCAGATGTAATATTTGCCAGCTAAATAACTTGAAACAAATTTCCTGAGCACTGGAAAAATATATAAAGATGCTGTAAAATAGGAACTATATCACCTAACTCATAAAGATCCAATCCTAACTTCACTGTGCACATTTAAAGCATTTACCATACTGCCCATCGTGAGGGTCTAAGAGACTGAAATGTTTGACTCATTAAATATTGTCTTTAATAAACCATAAAATTATAATATTGGAGATTTTTCCAACTTCTTAAATAAAAAAGGAACTGAGCTAACTGTAGATTTAAAATAACACACTAACATTCATATTTCCAGGTCTTTGAGATACCAACATTTCTTTTTCCGTAAAAAAACTATGAATTGTAACAATGCTCCATGTGTCTAGTTCA